AACTCAAACAGCGCTTCGCTTCTTAAAAAATTTTCCTTTGACGAAACCTAGTATTATTACCACTAGAGTTTAGTCTAATATTCATCGAGACTAATTATTAGTCTTGTTATTATTATTATTATATAAGCGTTAAACAATACTTTTCAACTACTATGTACAGATAGGGGCCATACATGAAACACTGGAGGGTAGGACCATTTTGGCATAATAGCACTTCTGAAATCCAACAACCCAAGCGACCCTTCAAACCGGATTCCCCGTATCGCGAGTAATTAAAAAGGCATTATAACGACACTTATATAAGTCATAATAATTTCTCAAATATTTATTATAAGTTCCTAATAACATTACTATAACTAAATATAAGATATATTTAAAATAGGGTAGGCGTATCTCACTTACAGCGGGTTTTGTAAAAAACCGGGCTCCGCTGGAGCAGAGCTTCTGAGCCGAAAAGCTCTTTTTCTCATAGCCGTCGGGCGCTCCGGGGCTTCCTTCTAGTGCTAGGGAGGTTCCCTAGCCATGGGGGGGGGGGGTGTTTGGGGGGGGGGGGGGGGGGGGGGGGGTTTAGAGAGAGAGACAGTAGAGAGAGAAGAGATGATGAAAAGTGTGAGTTTGAAGGCTGCCATCACACATCTATTTATAGGTGCGAGACCTCTCATTACGCGGGGCGTTCTTCGGATCTACGCGGGGCGTAAGGGCAGGTGTCGGACAATGGCTGGGGCTTCGTGGCTCATTTCGGACAGCAGAAGAAAGAGACCGCACAACGTACCATCTTCGTACGTAGGGTGTCCGAAGGTATGTCGGGCGTACCCCTCGCATCAGCTCACATTTTCTCATCTCGACTTCTAAAATTCATAACTTTCGCATACAAGCTCCGTTTTCGATGTTCTTTATATCCACGCATAGGTGGGACCGTACTCTACCACTTTCGTTTAGACTTCGTGGCTAATTTCAAATTTGTTTTTAAAGTTATATTTTAACAGGCGGGACAGGAAAGTCCGTTAAAAATTCATAACTTCTTCATTCGACGTCCGTTTTCGTCTGTATTTTCACTGTTAGGCTACTATTAATGAGACCTTCGATTTTCGTATAGGTTGTGTCGGCTATAAATTGGTCGATCTACTATTCGAACTCTGGGCTGCACACTGCTACGCTGAAACTTAGAAAATAATAACTTCTGCATACGAAGTCAGATTTGGGCGTTCTTTTTACGCATGCTCTCGGTTTAACGTTTGCTACGACTTTCATTTAGATCGCTAATGCTAAAAAGCACTTTATCGTAAACTCACTTTTTATGTCACGCAGTGTCGTGCCGGTTCTGTCGCGAAAGTTCAACAGATCATAACTTCTTCGTTATAACTCGGATTTCGGCGTTCTTTATATCTCCGGAATCCTTGTCACGACCACTACAATGTCATTTATAGATATCGGGTTTATCTAACATTTTATTTTTTACGCTTATTTTTATTATGTCTTTACAAACAAGTATATAAGCACATAAAATCAAATAAGTCACATAGTATTCAAGTAATTCATCTTTATTACTTCAAAATAGGTTACAATGGTTGACCTTGACTATTACATTATCTACATTATGTGTTCTTTAGAATATGACATGTAGAGAGAGAAAGAGATGATGAAAAGTGTGAGTTTGAAGGCTGCCATCACACATCTATTTATAGGTGCGAGACCTCTCATTACGCGGGGCGTTCTTCGGATCTACGCGGGGCGTAAGGGCAGGTGTCGGACAATGGCTGGGGCTTCGTGGCTCATTTCGGACAGCAGAAGAAAGAGACCGCACAGCGTACCATCTTCGTACGTAGGGTGTCCGAAGGTATGTCGGGCGTACCCCTCGCATCAGCTCACATTTTCTCATCTCGACTTCTAAAATTCATAACTTTCGCATACAAGCTCCGTTTTCGATGTTCTTTATATCCACGCATAGGTGGGACCGTACTCTACCACTTTCGTTTAGACTTCGTTGGCTAATTTCAAATTTGTTTTTAAAGTTATATTTTTAACAGGCGGGACAGGAAAGTCCGTTAAAAATTCATAACTTCTTCATTCGACGTCCGTTTTCGTCTGTATTTTCACTGTTAGGCTACTATTAATGAGACCTTCGATTTTCGTATAGGTTGTGTCGGCTATAAATTGGTCGATCTACTATTCGAACTCCGGGCTGCACACTGCTACGCTGAAACTTAGAAAATAATAACTTCTGCATACGAAGTCAGATTTGGGCGTTCTTTTTACGCATGCTCTTGGTTTAACGTTTGCTACGACTTTCATTTAGATCGCTAATGCTAAAAAGCACTTTATCGTAAACTCACTTTTTATGTCACGCAGTGTCGTGCCGGTTCTGTCGCGAAAGTTCGACAGATCATAACTTCTTCGTTATAACTCGGATTTCGGCGTTCTTTATATCTCCGGAATCCTTGTCACGACCACTACAATGTTATTTATAGATATCGGGTTTATCTAACATTTTATTTTTTACGCTTATTTTTATTATGTCTTTACAAACAAGTATATAAGCACATAAAATCAAATAAGTCACATAGTATTCAAGTAATTCATCTTTATTACTTCAAAATAGGTTACAATGGTTGACCTTGACTATTACATTATCTACATTATGTGTTCTTTAGAATATGACATGTTTTCGAAAGAAAATTATTTTCCTAAAGGAAACTAATCTTCAAAATGAAACTATTTTCTGTGTCTGCCGCATTACATGCACCTTCCACTTTGATTGGATACCTCATCTCTATAATAATACTATTAGTCGAAAAGAGTTATTTGCGGCCTCTGCTTTGCGCGAATAAACCACTAGTGTATGTGTGTGTGTGTGTGTGTGTGTGTGTGTGTGTGTATATATATATATGTGTGTGTGTGTGTGTTTTCACTATGGTTAAAAGTTTTAAACCATAGTTAGTATTGTTACAAATTTGGAGCCATTCGACACACATCACATTGGCCATTAGGCAGGATGGAGTCACAGCGGGTTGGAGGAGAGAGAGAAAAAGAGGGGTTTAGCGGTTTGAGGAACCTGCTCGGGAGACAACTCAAAGACGAAAAGTTGAAGAAGATGGGGTCGGTGGTTTTGGGGTTGGACGGGTTCGATAACCTCCGCCTAGGGTTTAGTGGTTTCGGCGGGAGGAGGGAAACGACTCCTTCCTCCCTTACACACACACACACACACACACTCTCTCTCTCTCTCTCTCACACACACACACACACACTCTCTCTCTCTCTCTCACACACACATAATCTCTCTCTCTCTTTCACATAAATAACGTTTCAACGAAAATAAAAATCTTTGTTTAAGGTTTTATTTTAATTGAGTCATGGTTTTATATAATAATTTGACCATCATTTAATAATACCATCTGATGCTTCGTTCGAAGTTAAAGTGTTTTTTGTTGGAGATCTTCACTGAGATGAAGATAAATGGTTTAAGAAGATTTCACACATCTAATCACCATAGCACAACTGTTGACGACATTAACCACTACAAAACCATAACATATTATGACACTATAAAAATACATTTATCGTTTATCCAGTTTCACGTCGGTCATTCTTTTTTATCTCCATTTTCTGCCTTCACATCATAATCATATATAATCGATCGTAACAATGTTGTAAAAATATAGTTTTTAGAAGTTTATGGTTTAAATTCGTTAATATAGTCGAACTTATATAGCAGAATTTCGTTAACTTATTCCAGTTTAAGCATCTTGTTCTCGCTTCTCATCAAAATGGGTGTTTCTTGGATGATAATCTTGACGGGGATTGTGTTTGGTTTTAAAATAAGGTCCTTACACCTATATAAACCGATTCTGTTCACAAATTTCATTGAACACTCTTACCTTTTTCAATAAACTTTTGTGTCTTTTTCTTAAAATTTAGAAAACACCTTAGATATGTGGGCCAAACATCCAAACGTTGATAATGCATTACTTATTGTATCATCATTTAAATGCAATGTGATTACGCCTAGACTGATACTAACTCATTTAAATGCAATTTGATTACGCCTAGACGGATACTAATTGAGGTTTTGTGTAACACCTGCACATCGGGATAAGGAGTTTTAAAATTTATGAATTTAAAAAACTGTCACAAATATTTAGTTTTATGTAGTAAATGATCAAAATGTAATACCATAATATTTAAGGAATTAAATCACTTAAAAAGGGATTAATTAGATTTAATTAATTAAAAGGATTTAATTGTGATTTTAAATTTAATTTAACATATTTAAATAATTTTGAAATGTTCTAAGATAATAAAATTTATCAAAATTAAAGTAAGGGAATATAAAACGCCAGGGGGCTAAGTTGTAATTCTGAGAAGTATCATATTTTTAAAATAAAATGGGTTTGGGGGTGTAATGCTACATAATGACAAAACGTGAGGGACAACAAACCATGATATCACTATCACGTGATCTGTGTGGTCTCTTAATTTCTGAAGCTATAGGACGTCGTTTTTCTTGATTTAGGTCTGCGACTTGTGATTTAATAGAAAGAGAATTGATCCTAGCCTCAACACATCACAACCTCTATCTTAAAAGCATCCGATCTGGAAGAAAACGAGGGAGAAAAAGAAGGTTCCCGGTTAGGGTTTTAGGGGAAAAAGAAGGCTGCTAGGCTCCTTTCTTCAGCTGTCCAATCCATTACAAGGTATGTGCAAGCTTCCTCTCTCTCACCTCTAGCATAGTGGCGGAGCCAGAGTCAAAGTAAACAGTATCTTAAAAAAATTGCATAATATAAAATAAAAAAATAAATAAAAACCACAATTTTATTAGACATAATAATAATAATAATAATATTGATAGTAACTAGGAGAAACCCATGCTCCGCATGCCGTTAATTGAGTTTTGAATTATAAAAATGAAACAACTTTGCTTCGCTAATATAACTCGGAAAAGTGTACAAGGGCTTAAACTCAATTATCTTCATATTTAGGCCTTTTGGCGGATTAAGCCAAGTATGGGACAAATGGTGACAATTTACAGTTTTTGTGGTTTTATCACAGGTGAATACATATAGACTTCTCCGAGCAAAGAGAAAGAGCTTGTATGGGAGCCTTAAATTAGTCAATATGGTGCAGATGAAGGTCTTCCTGAGCTTCGAGAGGCATTAACTAAAAAGGTCTTCTTAAACACCATATAATTAAATCATTACATATTTTATATTTACATTCATATGAATATATTCTAATAACTTCATTTATTTACAGTTGCGTGAAGAAAATAAGTTAACAAAATCCTCAGTGATGGTAACTACAGGGGCAAATCGGGTAGTTTGGGCTGATTCTTTTTTGTTATTTTTATGAATAGATTGTAAATTGTAATTGTTTCTATCTTTGTATCTTACAGATGTTTGGCATGAATATCATTATAACTACATCCATTGCAATGTTTGTTTCACGAAACAGGAATGAAAAACTGATCACTAGACCCACAGTAAGTCTGTATGTGTAACATTTTAATTAAAACATCCAACTATAAGAAGCTCTGCAAAATGCTGATATATCATCAATATGATCATCTTTCTTTGCTTCTAGTTTTTTTCTTTTTTGCATTTTCCATTTCTTGATTGTAGAAAAATGCCTATTTTATAGTATACATTTTACAAAACCTTATCAAACTTTTATTGTCTTTTTTTTTAGGTATTTACAGTTATTGACTGAAGGTGTTCATATGGCAGGTGAGTTCATTTTTTTCTACCACTTTGTTAATTTATATTTCAATCACATTTGCTATAGTGATTTGCAAACAAATGAACAAAACTTCTTGATATTTAACAGTTGAGGGCAACAAAAGGATTATAAAATGTGCCATTTTAATGATACAAATTTGGTTATGAGTATTACTTTCCACCACTATTAGGACCAGCAAATGATACTTTTGAAAAAGGGTGACGTTTCAAAATTATAACCTAAAATTTAGATTTTTTTTTTTTTTTTTTTTTTTTTTTTACATTTTGAACGCATAACTTATTATTTATTGAATTTCTATTGCTTTTTGTGTTTTTACATTAAAGATTACCAAATAACCCAATTAATTTACTGTTAATAACCCATTTGTAGAAAGTTTTTGTTGAGGGTAAAGCAGATGATGGTCTTCTAGAAGTTTTTGGCTTTAAACATGGATGGCATGCATCATTTGTTATGACCGATCTAATCTTAGCCAAACACATTGCACATATACTTGCTTCTCCTTTAAATCGAGTTTCTTTAATGTATTTAGTTTTGCAAATGGGCAAAAAAGTAAATTTGCAATGTATATCATAGTCCTTTTTACGTTTCTCAGGCTTCATAAATTCGGTTTGAGTTGAGAGGTGGAGCTTGGAAAGAAGCTTTTATGCAGATACCAATAGTCAGAAGTTTTAAATATTGTTACAATAAGGTCATCTTACAAACTCAAATTTTTGCAATTTGTTTTTATTTTTTTACTAAAATCCAAAGTACATTGCTATTTGTTTCGTTTTCTCATATTTAGGTAGTAAATGCAGTAAATAGCAATGTAGTTTGAATTTACACATTTTTTTTTCTGTTTTTCTTCAATTTTTTTTTATTTTTTTACCAAAAACCGAAGTACATTGCCATTAGATTCATTTTTCATATTTAGGTGGTAAATACAGTAAATAGCAATGTATTTTGAAGGGAAAAAAAGGCGGTTTCAATACACATTCACTTCTTTTTAAAATCTTTTATGTCACAGGAAGAGAGAAATGCCATATTGGCAAAAACTGAAGTTTCAGAGGCATCATTTAAAACTATTCTGAGCCTCTATTACTTCAATTAACTTAAATACTCTTACTTTTCTTTCTTTTAGAGTAGGCAAACATTGAAGATTGTATTTTGATTTTAGTCCTTGAAAAAAAAATAGCGCTTACTTAGATCATTGTTCCCTCCTCTGTTTAATCACCACCCACCTATAATTTTGATTATAGGTGCTCTTTATATGTTTATTTTTATATGTTTATTTCTAAAGTATTGTGGCTTCTTTTTATTTTAATAACAATTGTTGGTTTTTTATGGTTATTTTTGAAGGAGTTCAAGAAGAAACAAAGAAAACTGCAAGTTAGGGAAGCCAATTTCAGGAAGAAGGAAGAGGTCTACATGTGTGTTTATCAGAATGTAAATATATTTTTAAATTGGTAATTACTCATAATAATATTTACATGAGTAATGAGCAAACTAATGACCGAAAAACTATATTTTTTTAACAGATACACAAAAATCTCCAAATACACAAATAATTCACTGCAATTATTAGATTCGTAATATAACAGTTTAGCACATACTAATATGATTTTGAAAATGACCAAATAAAAAAGAACAAAGCTATGGGTTTTTCAAAGTACTGTCCTGGTAAGAAAAAAACGTCTCGAAGTGAAGCCCGGGCTTCTTTCCTAGTTAAAATATATAATAATATACGTAAAACATATTTTCCAATAATATAATATAAAAAGAAAATAGATTTTAAAATTATTATTTGTTTATTTATTGTTTTTTTTAATCGTCAAATTGGCCCGATTGTGCCAGAAAGCTACAATGAGTCGCATTTGTAGGCGATTAATTTCTTTCCTTCAAATTAAAATAAGAATAACAATATTTTAATACTCACAGCGATTACACAGTACACACACTACACACATACTGATATTTTTTCTCTCCGTCAAGCAGCCGTCTATGGCATTTCAACAGCAAAAAAAAAACCCTAATTTCAGGTTTGATTTGAATAGAGTTTTGCTTTTGTTTGATAATTTCATCGTGATTAACAACATTATTGATGATGCAGATTCGAAGCTAAAAAGCATTCCGTGATGGAGACGTTTACCTCGGTGAAGATAGAAAGTTTGAGAAAATTTTGCGCATCAACTCCCGATACCAAGGCGCGAAACGCTACAAACCCTGGGGGATTACAACACCGAACGAATGCATTGATAAATTTCACGTAAGCTCCGTTTTCTGCTTCAAATCCTAATCATATACATCGATTGTAACGATGTAGGATGAATTTAGGGTTTGGAAATGGTTATTTTATTAAATTTATTTAGAAAAAAATCCATTAACCCAATTCCAACTTTAACCGGCTTTTTATCATCAAAATTAAGGGGTAATGATTTCGACTTGCATAACAGATGAATAACATAAATGTATTTCATCTCTTATGTATTTACTTTGCAAATCAACTACTGGTACACAATTACTAGCTAAAATGACTATTTATTTCCTACTATGGAAATAATGTAGTAATGCATTTATTTGACATATTCATACAAAAAATTATAATAACCTCAACAATATATTACATGTAATAAAAATATTGGTTAAAAATACAATTTAAATGGTTAAACTAGTTTTTGAAGTCATAATCATTCTACTATAAAGATATAATTTATTAGTAATCCACTGTATTTGATGTCTACTTAGAATTTTATTTTTATTATATTATATCAAAACATAAATAAATTAAGCTCATATAATAACAATTTAATCCAAAATTAGTTATTGATCGGATCTATTGTTGTTTATCAAACTATACAAACCACATGCATTTTTGTTATATGTTTTGCGGTTTATAATTTTGTTAAGTTGCACTAAGTAGTTTTCAAAAAGCTAAAACCGTATTTGTAGTGTGTTTTGTGGTTTTAATTTTAAACCGCAAAACAACGTACATATTAGGTTGATTAGACTTTGTAAATATGTAATTATAATAAATAAAATATGTAATATTGTAAGAGAAAATTTCCAATATCTTTTGTTAAAAACAAGTTGAATATCTTTTGTTTAAAAAATAAAATAAAAAATGTAAATATACCTATATCCAATAAGTTATATATCTTTTGTTAAAAACTAATGGAATGTTAAATTTACTATTAGACAATGATATTTCTATAACTTTGTGAAACGTAAGGACAGTTTATGTACTTTTATCGTTTAGGCAGGAACTATTTTTCTAATGTTGTGAAAAGAAGACAATATTTATGTAATTTTATGAAATACACGGACCATTTCTGTAACTTTATAAAACATAAGATCCGTTTCAGTAAATTTGCTAATAGGCAGGGACTAATTTTGGAAAAAAAAATTTGCATAGAGATCTTTTATTTAAATTACATAATCCGCTTTTGTAATTTGTTTTCTATGTTGAGACCATTTATGTAATTTTCTAATAAATCATGGACCATTTTTGTAAGTTATAGGGACCATTTCACGAATTTCAGTGAACCTTCTCACAATTTTCAGTAAACTTATGTGTTTGTTTCTTAAAAAACTAAAAAAATTACAGAATGCATGGGACATGTGGCCAAACATCCACATGTGAATGATGCATTAATGATGAAATCAGCATTCAAAAACTTTGTTGTTCCTAAGCGGATACTAATTGAGGTCTTGTGCACAAGAGACCCTAGGGGTTAGAAATATCTTTCACCAATTGGTATGTATTACATTGGAAAATAATATTGAGAATTGCAAACTGCAACTTCTAGAACACAAGGTGATCAAGTGTAATTATTCTTCAAATTAGTTAAAGACTCATATATATATGTTGTTCTAGTAACTATGTTTACAAACAGGTGCTAAGGGTGTTGTGCTTTGGAATCCCAAGGAAAGCACAAACTGACAATGAAGCTAAAGACTTGGTAGTAAATGCGATGATATATTCAAAGCAATGAGGATCGGAGGTCCAAAGGAGGATGAGAACGGATCAGAAAGTGACATCCAGGTAAACATGGATCCAACGGATGAAGTAAAATGGGACGAGTCAGACTCCTTTGAGACACTGATGGACAAATACGAGTTCGTCCATAAGACTAATCTTGAGAAGGTGAGTTCAAATATAACCTAAAATTTTGGCATTATTAGGTTATAAAAAGAGAAATTTGTGTAATATAATTTTGTATAATTATGGAGGTTGTCAACTATGGGGTTTTTGAAAAAAAATACTCAAAATTAGGCGGGATCTTGTTTCGTACTTTGTTGATGTTTTGGGGAAAGCTTTTGAGACCAACAAAACATAAGATTTGATGCGCGTGATCGTCACGCGGACACTTGTTGATATGAAAATGATAAAAAAATGTTTTTTTTTAAAAAAATATGGCCAACCGTGAAATTGATGGTTGATCTTCTTGGGCCCGGATGATTCAAAGATTTCCTTCTGTTGTTATCATACTCAGGAGGTGATTAGGTTTGTCTAGTGGTTTCTATGATAGACATGGTTTTTAGAGGAATGATGGAAAACAGTTTTTTGGTTGATTATAATAATAAAAAAATTAAATTGTATTATTTTTTTTGACAAAATTTATTGTAGGTTTGAAGTTTTAATTTTGTTGCATTGACAAAACAATTTCATCATTTTCATCCTATGTTTTAGGTTTAGAAGCATATCTAAATCTTTTATTGACAAAACAATTTCATCATTTTCATCCTATGTTTTAGGTTTAGAAGCATATCTAAATCTTTTTGTGAAAATATTGATCACAAAAAACATTAATTTTAAAAGAACAGGATGAAAATTAATATTTGGGTATGTTTTGTGATCAATATTTTCACAAAAATATTTGAATATGTTTCTAAACTTAAAAAATAGAATGAAAATAATAAAATTGTTGTGTCAAAACAACAAAAATTAAAACTTCAAACATATAATAAATTTTATCAAAAGAAAATAATACAATTTAATTCTTTAGTATTCTAATCAACTAAAAAACTATTTTCCCTCATTCCTCTAAAAACCATGTCCATCATAGAAACCACTAGACAAACCTAATCACCTCCTGAATACGATAGTATTATCATAAAGAAATCCTTGAAACATCCGGGGTCGAGACGTTCACCCTCGATTTCAGGGTTATGCCATATTTTTCTCAATAAACCTTTTTATGATTTTCGTATCAACAAGTGCCCGCGTGACCATGATGCACATCAAATCATCAATATTGTGAGTCTCAAAAGCTTTCCCCGAACATCAACAAAGCAGGAAACAGGGTCACGTCTAATATTGAGTAATTTTTTTCAAAAGCTCCATACTTGACATCCTGCATAATTATAAAAAAAATTATGTTATACATATTTCTCTTTTTATAACCTAATTAAGCCATGATTTTAGGTTATATTTGAGCTCACCTTCTTAAGCTTAGTCTTATGGACGAACTCGTATTTGCCCATCAGTGTCTCAAGGGAGTTTGATCTCGTCCCATTTTACTTTATTTGTTGGATCCAAGTTTACCTGGATATCACTTTCTGATCCGTTCTCATCCTCGTTTGGACCTCCGGTCCTCATTGCTTCGAATATCGTCATCACATTTATTACCAAGTCTTTAGCTTCATTGTTCGCTTGTGCTTTCCTTGGGATTCCAAAGCACAACATCGTTAGCACCTGTTTGTAAACATAGTTATTAGAACAACATATATGAGTCTTCAACTTATTTGAAGAATAATTACACTCGGTCACCTTGTGTTGTAGACATTGCGGTTTGCAATTCTCAATACTATTTTCCAATGTAATACCATCCCAGTTGGTGAAAGATATTTTTGGCCTTGGGACCTCTTGTGTACAAGACCTCAGTTAGTATCGGCTTGGGAACAACGAACTTTCTAAATGTTGATTTCATCATGCATCATTCACGTGTGGATGTTTAGCACACATGTCCAAGGCATTCTATAAATTTTTAAGAAACAGACACATAAGTTTATTGAAAACTGTGAGATGGTTCGATGAAATTCATGAAATGGTGCCAATAACTTATAAAAATGGTCCATGTTTTGATAGAAAATTACAGAAATTGTCTTGGCATAGAAAACAAATTACAAAAACAATCTATGTAATTTACATAAAAGGTCCCTATGCAAATTCATTTTTACAGAAATGGTCTTTGAGTTTCTGAAAATTGCAGAAATGGTCCCTGCCTATTAGCTAATTTACAAAAACGGTTCTTATGTTTAATAAAGTTATAGAAATGGTCCCTGCCTATTATCAAAATTTCAGAAATAGTCTATGTATTTCATAAATATTGTCTTCTTTTCACAAAATTAGAGAAATAGTTCCTGCCTAAACGATAAAAGTACAAAAATTGTCACTACGTTTCACAAAATTATAAAAATGCTCATTATCTAATAGCAAATTTAACATTCCACTAGTTTTAAACAAAATATCATTTTTAACAAAAGATATTCAACTTATTGAATGTACATATATTTTCATTTTGAATTTTATTTTTTTACAAAATATATTCAACTTGTTTTTAACAAAAGATAATTATCCTTGATAATTTTCTCTTACAATATTACATATTTTATGTATTATAATGACATATTTACAAAGTCTAATCAACCTAATATGTACAATGTCTTGTGGTTTAAAATTAAAACCACAAAGCACACTATAAATACGGTTTTAGCTTTTTGAAAACTACTTAGTGCAACTTAACAAAATTATAAACCGCAAAACATATAACAAAAATGCATGTGGTTTGTATAGTTTGATAAACAACAATAGATCCGATCAATAACTAATTTTGGATTAAATTGTTATTATATGGGCTTAATTTTTTTTATGTTTTGATATAATATAATAAAAATAAAATTGTGAGTAGACATCAAATACAGTGGATTATTAACGAATTATATCTTTATAGTAGAATGATTATAACTTCAAAAACTAGTTTAACCATTTATATTGTATTTTTAGCCATTATTTTTATTACATGTAATATATTGTTGAGGTTATTATAATTTTTTGTATGAATATGTCAAATAAATGAATTACTACATTATTTCCATAGTAGGAAATAAATAGTCATTTTAGTTGGTGACTGTGTACCAGTAGTTGATTTGCAAAGTAAATACATAAGAGATGAAATACATTTATGTTATGCAAGTCGAAGACGTTACCCCTTAATTTTGATGATAAAAAGTCGGTTAAAGCTGAAATTGGGTTAATGGATTTTTTTTA